GGAATACAAAAGCAAGCTTCTTGACATGGTGACTTCATGTTCCCAAAACTCATTGACAAAATAAGAGAAGGAACAGGAAGAAGGTATATATACAGAGGCCTGTATATAAACAGAACCAATAGAGGAAGGTGAAGTCCCACCGGCCCCATTAAATACCCAAGCCAGAAAAAAGCCTCCCATCCAGAAGGAATAAAGCTATTACTTTCACTGTTCTTGAAATTTGGACTTCTTTCTTTCACTGACATTCAGTTCTTCATTCTTCCCTGGCAACAAGTTTGTCAACCCCTAGATGACCACTAACTCCCATTACAGAGGCCCAAACTTGTAAAAACATGCCTGTCACACACACAAGCATGAAATGCACATATTATTTCTTTCAACTAATATACAGTATCACTACAGAATAACCTCTGATAAGAATAAAATATGAATGAAGAAGAAAACATTGTTTTTTCACTACTTTGAATCCATCAGACAAAAATATAGGTATAAAACTATTTCTAATATGCGCCCAGATAAACAGAAGATGACAGAGAGCATTTTCAAAGTCTTACATAACTTTTTATGAAATGTCTCTAATCTGCAAAGGAGAACTAATTTACCCATAGCATCTGATCACCAGAATCAGAGACTAATCCAATCTGCTTTCAGTTGATTACAGTTATACTCGGCACTCATCAAAATCTTTTCAGACTTTGTGGCACTATGTTGTACAATATCAAGCACATTTTTTGCCTTCATTGAACTAATCTATGAGTCAAGTAGACAAGATGCATCCTGGGAACCAGATTTTTTTCAAATGCACTCACCGCTCTTCATTGTAACTCTATTTGTCCACTTTTTTAGAAGTAAATCAGATGGCAAAAAGCACTGTTAATTTGCCAGTCAAGGTACAGAAATGTATGGCTTCATTACCAAATACAAATCACTATTTCACAGGAATTTCTGTTATGGCTTTTTCTTCTTTGTTTTATATTGTATTTTCTTTTTAAAATAAGATTTATTTATTATGCATACAGTGTTCACCCTGCATGTATGCCTACATTCCAGAAGAGGGTACCATATCTCATTCTAGATGGTTGTGAGCCACCATATGGTTGTTGGGAATTGAACTCAGGACCTTTGGAAAAGCAACCAATACTCTTACCACTGAGCTATAATGACTATGATTTTTTTCAATTATGAATAATAAGGTTAGCACAGTATTTCACGTACTTAGAACCCAGCAATTTTCCTAAGTAAACACACACACACAAACACATACACACCAGCCTCTGACATTTACACCCAAAATTTGCTTCCAAGGACATTCTTCTTTCTTTCCTTTTTTGTGTCCTTCCATCCTTTCTTCTTATCTCTCTTTCTTCTTTTTTTTCTTTTCTTCCTTTATGATACTTGGAACTTAACTCAGGACTTCATGCACACAAGCAAAGTAGTCTTCTACTAAGCCATATAATCTGACCTTGGTGACTAGTTTTTAGAAAATCATCACCTAACTCTTTAAAAAAAATACTTTGCATCCTATTTTGTTGAGAACTGAGAAATTTATACCTACATAAAATGTTTTAAAGAAATACAACCTTCATTTCTTCCCCCAATGCTTCTCCCTAAACCCATTGCTACTACTATTTTAAAAAAAAATCTTTTCTCATTTTACATACTAATTTTAGTTCCCATTCCCTCTCTTCCTTCTGCTTCCCTCTACCCCACCCCTCATCCACCCTCAGAAAGTGTAAGTCTTCCCATGGAGAGTCAACAAAATCTGGCACAAAACTTTGAGGCAGGATCAAGGCCTTCCCCCTATATGTAAGCTGGGCAAGGTATCCCTCCGTAAAGAATGGGCTCCAAAAAGCCAGTTCATGCACTACGGATAAAGTCTGGGCCCACTGACAGTCACCCCACAGAGTCTGCCTAAGCCACACAAATGCCAACCACATTCAAAGGACCTAGTTTGGTCCTATGTTGGTTCCCCCACTGTCAGACCAGACTCAGTAAGCTCCCACTAGCTCAGGTCAGCTGTTTCTGTGGGGATCCCCAGCACAGTCTTGGCACCTTTGTTCATATTACTCCTCCTCCCTCTCTTTGACTATACTTTGGGAGCTCTGTCCAGTACTTAGTTGTGGATCTCTGCATCTGGTTCCATCAGTTGTTGAATCATGAGTGATCCACACCCAGAAAGACAGACATGGCATGTACTCATTTACAAGTGAATATTAGACGTAAAGTAAAGCATAACCAGCCTATAGTCCATGACCCCAGAGAAGCTAGGTAACAAGGAGAAGCCTAACAGAGACATACATGGATCCCCTGGGAAGGAGAAATAGACAAGATCTCCTGAGGAAAATGGGAGCATGGGGTGGGTGAAGGGAGGAAGGAGAGGAGAGAAGTAGGGGGAGGAGAACATGAGGAAACTGGATGGTCAAGTTGGGGGAAGGACAGAGATGAGGGAGAGCACGGAAAGATATTTTGATTCAGGGAGTCATTATGGGGCTAGAGAGAAACCTGGCCATAGGGACATACCCAAAATCCCCAAGAATGACCCCAGCTAAGACCCTAAGCAAAGGCGGAGAGGACACCTAAACTGTCCTTCCTGTGTAATCAGATTGATGACTACTCTAATTGTTATCATAGAACCTTTACTAGCACTTAATCCCCACCTTCTTGTGGGGAAAAAAAAAGTGAATTCATTCAATGGTGCATGAATGTACACGAATGTAGGGCCATATATGGGAGGATGGGTAGCCTCTCCAGGGTCACATCTTTGAAAAAAAAGCACTCTCCTTCCCTGTCAAGGAAGATGCTTTGTATGAGACCTGACTGTTTAAAGGTGGTTTGCACTCAGGCAAACTAATACTAAATCAGTAGGAAGCCAGTCATTTCATTTTTCTCTAATTCTCTACTTAATTGGGTGAATATTTGTTCTTTCATTCTGCAATTTTACTGTATATATTTGTATCATATTCTATGGACATTGTTATTTATGGATCTATCAATGAAGATGAGCAGAAAATCCCTATTGTTTTCTATCTAACTCAGATATTAATGTGATGCTCAATAAAAAAGTACTTAACTGAAACGGAGATGCAATTTGTTTCTGTAGGCCTCATCATAAAAAGTTATGTCTTATGTTAACTATTGCCAGCAAGACTAATTTTTAGTTGACATATTTTTATCAGGTGCCTGACCTTTCATTGTAGGTAAGTTGGTCTCAACATTGCATCCAGCAATATCAATGTGAGATTGCTTCCGTGATAAACAAAGTATACCCATTTCCTTGCGGATCTTTACTGAGTTATGTTTAAAGTCAACTGTTTCTACTGTTTCATATTATTCAATCTTTTCAAGACCTTAAAATGTAAACCTTGACTGGATTTATGGAAACCTGAGCTGAACCTGGTTACCTCTATTCTTGGAATTTGGAATTTGTTTTTCAAATTGCTCAGTTACAAACTCTCTTTTCAGTTTTTGCTGCCGCCATACTTTCTAACTCCTATAACTATCTCAAATAGTCACTATGACACCCATCTCAGTAAGGTAGTCACCATATTGTATCCATTTCAGAACTTTATCAGTTCATTTCTTTTCAAGAACTAACTCTTGACAAAACTCTTAACAGGACTAGAGGGAGTAAGATGCAGTTTAAGGGAAAGCAGGCATTGATCCTAGATCTTAGGGTTAAGAAAAGTGCCCATGACTGTTCTCAAGTTCAAAACTGTGTGCTGATTCCTCATATTTTGTACTCAACAATTGTTCAGTGGGCTCATCCTAAGTCCCAGAGGTTGCTTGTGACATACTAGATACATGTGTCATACAAGTCACCAACCAACTGTCCTCATTGTGGACATATTATAGGATTAAAACATAGACCCATCATGTTGTGGGTGAGTGAATAAAACATGGTAGACATAAAGATGTTGGGTTGTCAAGTCGTGACTTCATAGTGTGAGCCCCGAAGATTGCATCATCTGGTCATTTTCTGCTTTACCTAGCCTAACAAGCATGTTCAGTCGTTCCTCCTTCTGAAATGCTTCTCTCCCATATTAACGTTCATCCACCCTTTTGAAAGCTTTCACTCGTTTCTTTTAGGACATTCTGACCTCACAGTTTCTTATCTGCACGCCAGAGCACTGTAAAGACATTATACCATTGAAAGCACACAATGTCGTCGTTCTCAGCATTCATTTATTTAATTTCCAAACATTACAACAAACTCACTGAGGGAAATAAATACGCTGCCTTACAGGGATTTAGTAACATTGAATAGTAAAACCCGAAAGAAGCAAAACTCAATAAATGCTTTATGAAGCAGGTAAATGTGTTCCCCGCTTAGATGCTTAGATGAAAAAAGCCATTTTAGGTACATACATTTAAGCTTGACAATCCGAGATGAAAAGTCATTTTTAAAACTTTAAAAATATGAATTTCAAAAATATATTGTCATACAAAAATAAGATTATTATTTTTTAAAGTTTACTTTTTCATAAAGTCTAAATATAAAAATTTTTCAAGAAAGAATAGCTAAAAACTATAATTATGGCAAGTTAGAGAACTTCTTTTTTAAAAGATATAAATGTTTGTTTTCTTGAAGATTTTAACCAATGATAAATTACTACAACATTACTAAACTTTAACCAATAGCAAATTACTAGAAAACAAATTAATAAAAGACATTCGTTTATAGAAACTGGATTTTATTTCATCTTCACTCTTCTGTCTGTTAACCCTGTAGCTATAATAGCCTTTGAAATCAGTTAATGATAAAAGAATATATTTTGTCTCTGTAATTCTAAGTAGAATCTTGGTTATTTATATAGAACTGTCTCTGAAAGACAATGTCCAACTTTCAAGAGATGGAAAACCTATAGCAAATATTTCAGATGCTGTGAAGAGATAGAGAGAACAAAGAGATACCCACTGAAGTCCTTCCCCGGCACACGAGGACCAGCTGTGGCAGACGATATGATATCTGTCTGATTGCTACTATCACCATGGGTGTGTTTCTAGTTGGTAAGCAGAGCACTGGGTTCTCCCATGACAAAGGAATTAATGCAAATGTCTTCAATGATACACACGCTGACAGAGCTCACTGATTCTAGATCATCTCGTGCCTTACAGTTCAAGTTGGCGTAACAACTGCAATGAAAGTTTTTGGAAAAGTACTGTAGGTCATCAAGGGTGGGACTGCCAAGGATTACATACTTTCCGTTTTTCAAAACTTGAATCTGAAAATTTTGGGGGCTCAAGTGAAGGTAGTCATCTGAATCCCAGTCTTTCCTCGAACATACGCCTTGATCCTGGCAAAGTGTTTGACTGCACATTTTGGCTGCCAGGGTGACATTGATTAAGTAGGGATTCAGTGTGGTCTCCATGTAATCATGTAAGTTCAGACAAGATTTCTGTAAAATCATAAAATAGAATATCAAGGCATCAGTTCTATGTGACAATATACTGCATCAAGCAACTCTTAGAAAACAAAGCAATAGATACAACCATATTGTTAGAAAGTAAATACGCTTTTTCACTTTAACAAGCAATATTGTTTAACCAATTTTTTTCATAACATTCTTAAGCTTTTTAGGCCATTTCATGGCACTGAATAATTATTTACCTGAGAATCAATGTAGCCATGAACCTTCACAATGATTAAAAAAATAATCAAAGGAATGAAAAGTTTCAACTTTTAAAATATGGACATTGAATCTCTCTTGCCCTGATAGTTGGGGTCACAGCCTCATAAATGACCTTCAGTATGACTTGGGAATATCTCCAACCTTATAAGTCTCAGTTTCCTATTTGGAAGACCCCGAAGTCAAATTAATTAATTTGATTATGCTTAAGTTTTATCACTTGTAAATTAAAGATGAATTTTAAAGCCTGATGCATAGGACTATTTTGAGAAGAAAAAGAAAGATATGCATAAACATGGTTAAATTGGGATTATGATTTATTTAATTAATCATTAATTATAAAAGGCCATAGTAAAAATCCTATTTGTCAGACAAGTTTAAACAGCATCAAAAATAGTTCTCAAAGTGATTGCTCAAAACAAATGGGTTCAAACTGTATGGTTTATATAAATGTTATAGAATTGTGTGTACACGTTAGTATTTTGGGAAATTTTACAGAATTTGAGTGTTGAAAATCTTAACACTGGTATACATGAGGACTGAAGATAAAAACTGATTAGGCAGTTTAGTAATCTTTGCTGGAAGCATAGAATTCCAGAAAAAGAGTTCTGGCTCCTAATTTCTTGTTATCTCTTCTATAGGAACACTCTGCTTAGAAGCTATGCATCATGGGGCTGTGGAAATGGCCACCAATGGGATAGATTTAAGGCCCACTCCATGAGATGGAACCTATGCCTGACAGTGTCAAGTGACCAAAAATTTGAAATTGCATGGTCCATGGGCTTAAGGGACAATCAAATACTATTGTTTTGCTAAAGAAAGGCAGCAATAAAATGACTGCTAATGATATTCTGCTATACTCATAGACCAGTGTCTCACTCCATCATAATTAGAGAGGCTTTCTTCTGCCATAAATGGGAACTAATAAAGAGATCCACAATTGGGCATTCTGCAGAGAAAGAAAAGTCTTATAACTCAGTCTTAAATGGCTTTATCGTATCCCTTATGATACAGGGCTTAGGGCATTCTGTAGAAGAGAAGGCAGACAATAGCCAGAGGAGATAAATGACACCAAGGAAACAGTGCCTTTCGGGCACAACATGCCTGACACACAGAGCAGACTGTGGCAGCATTAATAGGGTCTACACAGATCCGAACAAGACAGAGCATGGGCAGTGAGATGGGCAAGTAGACAGGAGTTTCCATCCCCAAACAAGAAACCAGCTCCAAAGAACAACCACTCACAAAAGAAAAATTGGTTTCTCCAAGGGGGTCTCACCAACTTTATGGCAGGCTCCATGCCTAGCATGAGATAACACAAAATAAACTCAAAAGTATTAAGGGGATTTTTTGTCCATATTGCTTTGTCTGGGCAATTTTTTAAAACTTATTTGTCTTTTTCTTGTCATTTCCATTTTGAGTTTTTTAGGATTTTTTGTGAGCATGTGTGCACATGCACAGGCACACATGTATGTGTGCACACACATGTTTGCATTTCTGCGCTCCTTCTTAGTTTATTTTTGTTTGTTTTGTTTGGTCCTTTTATGCCTGTTTTATTTGCCTATTTGCTTTATTAAGAGAGAAAAAGGGATGGAGTTGGAAGGGTAATGAGGCAAGGAAGATATGGGAGGAGATGAGGGGAGGGGAAGCCATGATCTGAATTTATTGTATGAAAATAAATGTATTTTCAGTAAAAAAAAAAAAAGAAAAAGAAAAAGAAAAAAATAGAAGAAAAAGTAGGAGCAGCAGGAAGAGGAAAAAAAAGAAAAAGAGGAATAAGAAACAGAAGATAAAGAGAAAGAAGAAGAGGAAGAAAAGGGGGAGGAAGAGGAGAAGAAGAAGAGGAGGAAGTGAAGGAGGAGGAAGAGAAGGAAAAGAGAAGAAGGAGGAGGAGAGAAGGAGGAGAAGCAGCTGCCCATTAAGATATGAGTGAAACTCTAGCCCACACAACAGTACCTTCAGGTAAACAGCTTTGAAAATAGATATCTGGATGTCCCTGGTAGAAATAGCTTATTATCTATTCCCCTATTTCAGCCTATCTTCTAAATGATTTAAGATTCCTGTTCAAGTGAGGAATGTTATAGGAACCATAAAAGACATTAGGAGGGAACCTTCCCTCTGGCCGTGGGTGAAGACATGAAGTTCTGATCTACTTCACTTCAAAGATTTAATGTTACATGCTGTTGCTTCTTCTTTTAAAAGTTATTCCTCCAAGAGGCTCTCTCTCTCTCTCTCTCTCTCTTCTCTTCTCTTCTCTTCTCTTCTCTTCTCTTTTTTCTCTTTCTCTCTCTGCCTCTTTGCTCTTCTCCCCTTCTCCTTTCCCCTTCCATAACCCACTAAATAAGTGTCCAATCTCAAAAAATAAAATAAAATAAAAGTTATTCCAAGGCAAGCTCCATGCTCAGTAGTAGTTGACCAACACAAATGGTCTCTGGTGTGTGTGTGTGTTCTAGGGGATTGCTATTTGTTTCATTTTGGTCTGTTTTGGTATTCTTTGTATCTTGGTGGGTTTTAGTTTGTTAGTTTTCTTTTCTTTTTTGCTTTTAAATTTGTAGTTTGAGAGATACAAGGGAAGGAGAGAGGGAGGGAAAAGGAAGAGGGAGAAATTTTAAAAAGTATAAAGTTGGGTGAGTAAGGAAGTGAGAAGGAACTGGGAGAATTTAAGGAAGGGAAAAATGATCAAACTATATTATATAGTAGGACTCAGATGCCTATATTCATTGACAGTAAAGCACTTCTAATATCAACTATTTTAAGTACTTTTTCTTTTTTAATGTTCCAAAAACAGTTTTTATTTATCTTTTTAATTTTTATTTAATTTTCCTTTTTATTGAAAACAGATTCTTTTCTCAGAAAATATATCCTGATACAGTTTTCCCCTTCCTCTACTTCTCCCAGGTTCCCACCACTTCCCCTCCCACCTGGGTTCCACTCTCTTTCTGTCTAACATTAGAAAAGAACAGGCTTCTAAAAGATAATATTAAAAATATCACAAAATTATAATAAGAAAAAACAAAAATGATCACATTCATATTGAAAAGAACAAACCAACAGAAAGAATAGAGCCCAAGAGAATGCACAAGAGACCCACTCATTTACACACCTAGGAATGCCATAAAAACACTAAACTGTAAGTCATACTATATATTCAGAGGATTGGTGCAGACCAGTGTAAGCCTTTTCATACTGCCTCAGTCTCTGCGAATTCATATGTGGTTTGAATGCTGATTTAGAAAGCCTTGTTTTCTTGGTGTCCTCCAGTTTCAAGTGTGCAAGACTATGTCAATATTCTTTAATGCCATTTTCTCAGTGCCAAATAAATGAAAAGTTATACCAAGTTCAACTGACAATGCAGATGTTTTCAGAAACAAAAGTTAGGCAACAGACAGACTAGGGGAATGAGTATGGTTTGAGGATCACCTTATATGTACTCTATGGAAAGATTTAAACTGGCCGTAAAAGAGATATTAATATAGCCACACTAGCCAACTTCAAATTACCAATCTAACAGCACTGAATACGGAGCTGCGAACTGAACATATCACCATTACATAGTATGGGCATGTGATGTGGCTAGCATCCATTCTAGGATGTATTCATCCATATAGACTTAACAGACAGATCTACCCAACCCCATGAACTGAAGTAAACATGAAATAACAACTGGCATATTTTGAGCATTAGTCATTTTTATTTATTATAAAGGCACATTTATATTTGTTTTATATTAGTTAATGTTTTTAACATTAATTTTACATCTTTTTATCTATTATACAATATATAATCCTACCATTTTTTTAAATAATGGTTGTGTTTAACTCGCAAATTCCCAAACAAAAACAATCAAATCTCATAAGTTAGGACTGGTAGAACTGGCTTCATCACATCATTGGATGTGATAAAAGTGGAGTGGAGGGAAATGGTTTTCTTTGTACTTGTTTTTGTTCAGTTCTAATAGCTGCCAACAAACACAAAACTCTGCAATTACCAGTTTCTCAAGTTCTCAGGAATCAGAGGAAAAGTGACAGATGATCCATGGGACTATAGATCAGAAATAATAAATAACAAAGATAAAATGAAACTCATCATGGATTGGGGAAATTTAGCAGATATGTATTGAAAGAGTCCACAGGAGATAATGTCAAGACAGTGCCTTTAGCAGAAAATTGTGACATGAAAGTTGAAGACTATCTCTAAATGAATCATACTGAAGATACTTGGAAGACAGGGTAGAACGTCAACCTGTACCTATTTTTCATTCACAGACATTACAGTGAAATTTTTTTTGAATAGAGGAAGAAACCAAATCTTATTACAAGTCAGTGACTGAGATCTATACCCACTTGCATAAGACAGGAAATCACTTCCTTCTACAAATAACCAAACACACAGGTGCTGTACTGAGACTGTACTGGGTCAGCCTTCTCTTGGGAGGTGACACCTAGGAATGACTGCTTCCTGCCCTGATGTGCCCATCTGAACAAGACAGACTATGGAGATAAGACTTCCAGGAACCCTCTGTTACAGCCCCATAAGTCTGCTCTCATCGCACTATAACCTGTACTGTTTGTCTCAGTAACTACTACTTATAAAGATGACAAAAGTAAGGGCAGATAGATCATTCTTGGGGTCTCCACTCAATGTGAAGAAGCCATTCTATTTGAGGAGCTATACGGGTAAAAGCCCAGTGGCTTACCATCTATTCTCTTTCCTTGTATATACCACACACACACACACACACACACACACACACACACACAACATTCCGATCTTTTTTTGAGAGCCAGAACTACAAGACACTCTGCATGACCGTGCTTTGCACTCTGATCCTACATTTCCCACCATATTCAATATTCATTGGGTCTATTGTGGCAGTGGAAAGGGAAATGGTGAGCACTTAGGGCTATATTTTGTTGTGCATATAGGCATGATTATTAAACATTAAAATGACAGAAATATCTTCATCTATTCCTTACTGATTCAACTTACCATGCTTCGTGCTAGACTAAGAGTTCCCCACATTACCATTCCAGAGGCACCCAAGGCAACTGTTTCACCAATTGTATTCACAAGGTCATTCTAGAAAATACGAGAAGGGTTATCCTATGGGGATGAAGTGAAGGTAATACACATTCAACAGTAAGACCAAAGCTAAACATGATGATCCCATAATTTAAATATTTCCACACTCTCTAAACACTATACACAAGCATTTTGTGACTGTTTTAAAATGAAGACTCTTATTGCTCTAATTACTTTTGCTGGCAAAAGAACATACCCATAGCAGGAACGGTGGTGGTGCACACCTTTAATCCCAGGACTAGGGAGGCAGAGGCAAGCAGATCTCTGTAAGTTCGAGGCCAGCCTGGTCTAGAAGAGCTAGTTCCAGTACAGGAACCAAAACCTACAGAGAAACCCTGTCTCAGAAAAAAAAAACATACCCATTAATAAAAAAGAGAAACAGTTAAGGTATAGTCCATACTATGTATAATTTTTCATGATATGAGTATCTCATAAGATTAAAACCAGGATTCAAGTGCTGGGTTGGGGAGGTAGATTGGTTGGTAAAGCAGATGCTGTGTAAGCATGATGACCCAAGCTCCATCCCTAAGACCCATACTTTAAAAAATAATAGTGGGGTATGGAGGGAAAACCTTGCAAACTTTCAAACTCAGGGAGGGAGGAAGGCAGATCCCTGGGGCTCACTGGCCAGGTAGACTAAACTAATGGGCAAACTTCTGGTCACAGCAAGAGGGTCTGACTCAGAAATCAAGGTAGACATAAGGAATGACACCTGAAGTGAACAAACCCTCACCCATACCAGAAATTTTACTTTTAATTTTAAAAGATTTAAAGTGTTCTCATTTTGCCTCCATTATAGACATTACAAGACACATTCTAGATGTGTATATCCATAAATATTAAATGCCAAATTTCACTCTTTAAAAACAAACTTCTGTTCAGCACGGAATTTTAAAATTCATATTAAAATGATCTCTTAACTGTCCTTCCTTGATTTACTTACCTCATTCAGGTACTGGTAAATTTGATCAGCAAACACAATGCGAGTATATACAAAAATAGGAACTGGATTCTGAGGGTCCTTGGTTTTAGACACCCTAATGGCCTCTTGCACACGATTTCTGACATAGAGTGCTGCATTTAGAGACGACTTCAAATTACTCCTCAAATATATAGATGGGTAAAGGGCTGTGCTTTCCTTCCAGATCCAGGAGAGTTCATCATTTCTTTTCTTTTCTATATCAGGGCAATTTCCATTGTAATTGGGGTCTTCAAATTTATTGTTATAGCAATCAGGAAAAAGATAAAAACCCCATAAGTGATTTGGCCGAAGTGATTTCCCCAATTTTAAAGTCTGTTCCATAAAGCTTCTTGCTGCCTGTTCAAATTCTTTTCTGGCCCTGTTGGTGATTTCTGTTAAATTAAGTTGTCTATGTTCTTGCTGGATCAATTCAATAGACTTATTCTTGTAAATATCCTTGGGTTTCCAGTTTCTTGACCACGTGGGCCTCCAGTCTTCCCAATCTATAATAGCCAAGCCCAAATTGTCTATTGGCATGTAACGCTGGATGTCTTTCTTAGATTTTTCCAAGTGATCTTTTAGAGATCCCAACTGGGGTATTCCCCCATGAAGACTTTTTTGCGAGTCGTCTATATGAGGATAGAGGCCAAGTCGATCAGTGTAAAATATTGTGACAGGCTGACCCGTGGCAGTTTTTCTGGGGCTTCCTACTAAAGAGAACAAACTAAGATCTAATGGCTCATTAAACTTGGTGAGACAAGACTCAGTTGGGGCATTCCAGACCCAGAGAAAAGGCACATTAGGGATAAGTGGGGGCGCTCTAAAATCCTCAGTCAAGCAACACGGAAGCAAAAGGAAGACTAATACTGTCGGTGGTGCTCCATTAGACTCAAGAAAGCTCCCAGGAAAGGAGTGTTTCAGATACAACACCCGCATTGCAGAGAATTAATTCATTAGTACACAAACACTTATTTCTTCCAATATTTCTTCCAAACACCTATTGGCCTCTCCAATATTTGGTGCCAAAGGTGAGAGAGACTGGGGCATGAGGGCCACTCCGAGGGTGGAAGTTGATGACAGCTCTACAGTGAATTACTCTCCTTCTTGCATCGTGTTTCAGGGATGTTTTGTGATAAGTTGGATAATCTATAACTAAAATAAGGAAAAAACAGGAAATTTAAACTTTATTATATTTGGATTCAAAGGTTGACTAAGTCCTCAATGTTGATTACAGGCACTTTAATTCAATTTCAGAAGATAGAATCTCCTACTATGTTTAAATCAATAAGGTTTTCTCCTCTTATATATGGTAGAAATTCTGTAAAAGCTAACTTGTCTAATCTCCCCAAATCACATCTTATCCCATAGATAAATAGATATAACTATGTTTCCCTTTTCCTTCGTATAGCCATCAGATGCCTTAGCAAAAACAAGTTGAAAGGAAATTAGCTCTTGCTTAGCAGTGTTAAAAGACCACTCTTGTCACTATATGCCAAATTTTGCAAACAATTTCTCACACAGTTGAAAATGTTTGCCTTTTCATGATTCATTCATATGCGTGACTGTAGCGATGATATTAAGAACTAAACCCAAGGTCTTTCTTGCTCATGAAGCAAATACTGTTACTACTAAGTTATAGTCCAGTCAATGTTTGTTTGGCCAAGGTCTTATTAAGCATTCCCAGTTGACCTGGAACTTGGGATCATTTCTTCTCAGCTTCCCAAGCATTTGTCATTAAAGGCTGTACACCACCGTTCTGGCTCATAATTCTCTTGATTTTGTCCACCTGTACTTGTTCTCTTAGCAACAACAAGGGAGAGAGCAAAAAGTAGTTTTTATGTTTATAAGTTCAACAAGTTCAAGAGTCCCTTAGGAGACTGCTGAACCAATTCATACAGCAATGTCCACTCATGGTTAAAAAATTAAAAAAAGAGCCGGGCGGTGGTGGCGCACGCCTTTAATCCCAGCACTCGGGAGGCAGAGGCAGGCGGATCTCTGTGAGTTCGAGACCAGCCTGGTCTACAAGAGCTAGTTCCAGGACAGGCTCCAAAGCCACAGAGAAACCCTGTCTCGAAAAACCAAAAAAAAAAAAAAAAATTAAAAAAAGCTACTTTATGTCTTCACAAAAGGAATTGACTGTATCCTATCTTTAATAAAAACAGGATATGGATTTTGGACATTGGATATAATTTAATAAGCAAAATTTCATTGTTATTCCAAGGTAAACTGAGGGATGATTAGCAAATGCGTCATATAATAAATGAACCAAGAGCCAGATATTAAATTCCATGGTTCAGTACTTGCAAAATTTACCACTTCTAGCACATGTTTAAATGTTTTTTTTCTAGAATTAAAATATGGCCTTTCTATAATTATGTTGTTATAATTATGTGACAATAAAATGATAATGATATCCTTCTTACTAGGAATATTGTCCTTATCATAGGAAGCTATTCATTCATTGTCATTGTTGAAAAATAACCTCAAAACAATGGCACAGTCAAAATAGCAGGCAATCTTAACCCTCGTGTTTAGAACAGGTAAAGCTCCCAAAAGACCTCCGTATTATAGTTGTATAAAATTTTAATCTGAAGTAAAGAAGAAAAAAATAATTCCTTTCAAATATCAAGTGCCAACATCAATGCCTGAATGAGAGATGGAACAAGGAAATTTAATAAAAAGCTTTAGCATTTTAGGAATGCCAGATAAGAGAGACACTAGGTCTTTGTTTTTCCAGAGTCGGGTTCACTTATTGTAATTTCTTGGTCCATACATTTACCTTAAAATGTCATGATTTCGTTTTTCTTTACAACCGAATAGTATTTTTTTGTATGCTAACCACTGGCTCATTATCCATTCATGTGTCAAAATATGTTTAGATTGTTTCCATTTCCTACCTATTGTTAATAGGGTGGGTTGTAACATTGTTAATCAAATATCTGTGAGGTAGGATGTCACATCCTTTGGTCATATGTCAAGGAGTGGTATAGCTGGGTCATATGGTAGATTTCGTTTTAGTTTTTTGAAAATTCTCCATTCTGATTTATAGAGTATGAACGAAATCCCATACCCACTTACAAGGATGAGAGTCACTTTCCCCCCACAATCTCACCAGCATTTTGTTGACTTTAGCCATTCTGCCTGGGGTGAGAAGAAATCTTAAATATTCTAATTTGTATATTCCCACTTACTAAGTGATTCCAAAAGGAATATATGTTATATATGAGGCGCCCTCTCAGGGGTTGGAGTGGGTCCCTAATGCTGAAGACACTGCACACTTAGGGCACAGGACTCAAATAATTTGAGCTAAACCTGACCTGAATATCTTTTTCATACAGTCCATCTTATAATGGTTCCAGAAAATATTATAGAAGCTGTCAAAGGAAAAAGACAATTAACAGTCCTATGCAGCCGAATGCTTACAAATCATGACAATTACCAGCAAGATATACATGAAGGTGCAATAAGAGGTATTCACATATCAGTGCCATCCAACAGCTGTCAAACTGGGTTTAAGATTCACTGAATAGAAGGGGAATCATGTCTGTTACTAGCAACCTAGCCAGCTTCCCTGGGGCTAGTGAGGTTATGAACCTCAGAAAAACTACTGCAACTTTTCTCAAGAAATATGATTTTTTACTATATTCTAGATCTTACTCTTATGCCCACAGATAAGAGTAGTTGCCATCCTTCAGCAAAAATAAAAAGTCTTCACAGAAAACAGAGACCATCACAAAAAACCACAACTGGACACCATGCAGAGATCAATATATTGTAGACCATTCAACCCCAATAGATTCATCTATATCACAGCTTCTGTATCCATCCTGGTCAAGGATCATCTCAGATAATGAGCAAAAAGATTGCTAGAGCCATATATACACATGGCTCTTGGAAACCAGGAAGTCTGGTGTAAAAAAAAATCTGTTCTAGAAGTGTCTTCATAAAAAAGACTGGAACAATCACAATATCCATGGATATGTAATTGTGGAAAGGAACATTTTCACAGTGTCCCACTCTTAGACAAAGAACCACAGGTAACTAATAAAAGCTGGAAGAAGAAAAATTACCTTTTCCCAAGGATAAGTCCCCACCTTGGTTATTCAATGCAGAATGATAGACCTTAAAACCATATACATACATACATACAAGCAAACAAAAGACTGACTCAATAGGCTGAGATGATATATTGTGCACACACATATATATGTATAAACATATATATGAATAAGAGGCTACTAATTTCAGAGTAGGGCTCATAGGAGAAGTTTGAGGGAGGGTGGGGGTAAGAGCCTGGAGGAAGGAAGGAGAGCACACAATGTCGTATAATGTTATTTCAATTAGAAATGTTTTAAAAATAAGAAAAAGTTTTAAAAGCTTAACTAATTTAACTCCAGGTGACAAGTGGCCTTATCCTTCCTGTCAACTATAGATAAAGCATCCCTACTAGAAAAATTCAAATGATTTCCAAATCTAAAACTTTATGAACACCAACATGAAACGACAGTAGAAAATTCTATACCATTAAACTTTATTCCATGAATTAAAACATTTTAAAGTATTGTACAAAATTGCTTTCAACTAGATAGATATAAAATAATAGAATTTCATTTTTCTCTGGTTCTATTTCTAAGATATCTCTCTGCATATATTCACATATTCTAAAACTACATGAAGTTTGAATTCTGAACCTTTTCCAATTCCATGCATTTCGGGTAAGGGGTATGTCACCTCTATACTACTGCAGTTGGCTCTTGAGTGACTTCTTGTTCATCCTGTGAATGATTTTATCAATATACATCAGTTAGGGCCTGATATTCCCCTCAAGCCCCAAAGCGGGGAATTCACCCTGTTCTCTGAATCCATTCACTCCACCACTGCTTAGTGGCTTCATGGCAAGAAATCGGTTAGTTTCTGCGTCTTCTCAAGTATTGATGGGCTGACTGCTTCCCTTTATGAAGAGTTTTCTTTCAAACTAATATTAGAAACATAAGAATGAAATACATTTGAAATCCTAGTTAGATAAGCTATTATTCTTGTTTTAAAGAAACTTCATCAATGGAATACTTTCTTGCTTATTAAATCCTTTGAACCAGGCACCACTTGTCTGAGAAATCCCAAAATCATTTGGTAATAAAATTGTAAAACCATAGGTACACACCTACCAATGTAATACTTACCACTATGTATTCAAAAGTCTTTAAAATGAGACTTTTTCTATCTGAGAAACTACTTGGAGTAAGTCATTCTGACACTTTAAAACCACATTTCTTCTTGATGGAATTTATGTAAATATCAGAACCAGTTATAATCCTAGAAAAGCAACAGATAACTTGTCTTCAATACTTGCTAATTAAAATAAAATATTTAACTCCAAATTGAGGCACACAAAAACATGTAAGTATGGAGTCAAATTTCAGACCTATGAATGTTCTTTTTTTCTGGCTGTCTTTTAAATATCTTTGAGCTAATCCGAGATCTAACTATCATATGGTTTTCCAGTAAAAGATGAAAGTAAAATAAGATGCGAAGCTAAAATGAGTCTGTCAGGGTAGATCTGAAGTGGCCCCTTCTCTTCCCTGCAGAAAGAAAAATTAGCAGTTTCTTACATTTGCTCAACACAGTGCTGATCAGGACTTTTGGGCTATTTTCTGGCAAAGGACTTAGCTGTTGTTTTTTTTTAAGTTTTATTGTGCATATTTAAAATGGACAAAATAATGTTATGAGAAGGTACAAGTTGTTGAGATCGAGACAGGTGATTTGGGACAGGAGAGGCCCAACAAAAGAGATCAATTTTCTTGTATTGATTTCTACTCTTTTTACAGAAAATGTTTTCTTTCATAAGGAATTCTTTGCTCTAGTATATCATAATTAAGAGTATAGAAATTCCAGGCATAATAAAGAAATAGAAACTATCACACTGCTGTATAGAACGT